CAGGTATTTGTCTTCAATCTCATTAATTCTGTGTTCCATCGATTCAATTCTACTCCTTTGCCCTTTCAATGTGTTATCTATTTCTGATAATTTAGTATTAATCTTCTGGATTTCTATCCGTAGTTTTTGTATCATTTCTAATTTTTCATTTATTTTGTCATTTTGTTCTTGCATTGTCTTTCGAAATTGTGCTATGGTTTTGTCTGTGTTTTCCTTGATCTGTCTCTCAATTTGTTAAAGATACCTAAATATAATTCTTTTGAATTCTTTATCAGGGAGTTCCAATGCTGCGTCTTCCTCAGGGATGTGTTTTGGGTCTGTATCCTGGTCCCTTGTTTCTCCTACTTTATCTTGCTACTTTGTATGGACTGTGATGCTCTGTTGTCTCCGAGGCATTGTGATGTTTTTGTGTTTATATTTAACTGGTGATTGTATGTTGGAGTGACTTGCCCACGATGTTCATTTTCTTTGTTTTGTTTGTATGTTATCTATGTAAGCAGGGTACTGTGCTGTGCTCCACTGTGCACTAGTTGATAGCACTTACACACACCCCACCTGTCTCCTTTCCTGTTGTCAGCCTCTTGTATGTCCCTTCTGACCTTGGCAAACAGAGCCTATTCTTAGGTCCCTGGAATCCGAATGAGAATGTTATCAGTTTAAAATTCAAAATGATTATCACTTTTAAAGATTCTAAATGCTGCGCCCTTGGTCATTTTAAATATCCAAAATGGCCACCACTTGAAAACATTCAAAATGGCTGCGCCCTCGGTCACTTTTAATATCCAGAATGGCCACCACTTGTAAACATTCAAAATGGCTGTGCCCTCGGTCACTTTAAGTATCCAAAATGGCTGCCATGAGTAAACAATCAAAATGGCTGTACCCTCTAGAAAGCAGAAAGTCAACAGCTCAGGTTGTCTCCCTCCTTGCTGTTTCTTTTCCTAGTCATAGACCACCAGCATAGTCTTCCCTGCAGACTTCAGTTACCAAGGCTGATCTTTAGGTCAATTCTTAGGTCCCAACACCACTTGGAAATATTCAGGCTGTTGGTCTTGTCAGAGTAGTTGATAGTCCACAGCTCTGACCATCTCTGTACTCACTGTTTTTGTTCAGGTTTTTCCACTAGTTGGTGCCTAATCCACTTCCATATAGTTCCTTTCAAAGCTCTGGGCTTCAGGATTATCTTCTGTATCTCTGTCAATTGGTTTTTCTTTTCTTTGTTGAAGAGGGTCTACATCACTTGTCTGCCTATTCCTCCATCTTACTGGAAGTCCCAACAACAATAATTTTACAGCATGGTATTGAGAGTATTTTGAAATGCATTTAAAATTGCATGCATGTCCATGTTTTGTATCTGTTACAGCAAGTAAGGTCTTCATTTCCTACTTCTTATTCTTGGTTCTGTCTTGTCCGATACCCTGGAGGCCATGAATTCTTGGTAAACCCCCGGAACTTTTAAATTATTCAACAGGATTCCCTGTAAGGGAGATTTATTTTGAACACTACAAAAAGTAATATGGCAGGTAATAAAAGAAATGCCTCACTAAGTGGGCTTTCTTTGAAGGGGGTTCTGTAGCCCCAGCCCTAGGACAGCCTAATCTTAGCAGTGTCAGTACTGATGATCTGAAACATAAAGGTGTGAAGACGAGGTCACTAAGGGATAAGAATTTTAAGTATTTCTCTTTTCTTTTTAAAAACATTTCTTTTTGGTAGCAGTATATATAAGCATACATCCATTCACAGTTTCTACATGAACAAGCTCAGTAACGTTGGTTATACTTCACATTGTGTCACCATTCTGTCTCTACCCATATTGTTTCATCACCATTAATTTTGGCTCTTGGCCCCTTAAAATTCTCATCTGTGCTTTAGATTAACTGTTGTTAGTTTATATTCACAGGTAATTCTTTATATAGAGTCCTGTGCTTGAGGCAAACATTCTTTTTTAATTGGGCTAAACTGTTGCTTAATTTAACACTGGTTTCATGAGTTCAAGGTTTAAAGATTCCTTCCAGGCATTGTTAGATTCAGAGGTTCCCCCAGTCAGCATGGATCCAGTAAGTCTGGTTTCCATATGAGTTTGAAGTTCTGTTCCACGATTTTCTTCCTTTTCATCAGGATCTATCTATGGATCTGTCTCTCTGTTTCTAGGTAGAGATAGTAAGGAGAGAGAGAGAATGAAGCCTTTTTCTCTCTTCATCGACTGATTGCCTGTAAGTCCATATTTCCTTCATTAGTGTATTTGTAGTGACATGACAATGTGCCTGTTCTTCTTCCAGGGTAAGAAAAAGAAGAGGAAGAGAGAGAAACTACAGGAATCTACATCAGGTAGGTACCACATGACCTTCCAATTAATTTCTACACTCCTGACAAACACCTTTTAAAGTAATCGGCTTCTTTCTACACACTGCTTTTACTTTTCTCACTGTAACGTGTGATACTTTAACTCTGCTCCTCTTCCTGAAATTCTTTAAACAGTGTTAAAAGATCTTTCTTTTAATTTTGACTACATGAAGGTACATCTAAAGACTCCTTTCCCAAACCCTGTTCTCAAAACCATGCTTGTTAACTGTGGTTGATTATTTTTCGCTCCTGTTGTCTGACCATGTTCTGTGCTTTAACATTTCTGCTTTCTTTCTATTTGCTTAACTCCTAAAAAAATACAATTTTTTATGACAATTATGCAAAATACTTCTTTGTATCCCCTTGAGAATCTTTTCTGTGGTTTGGATTTTTTTTAAATATAAAACATGATGATAAGCTTTATCTTTCTTGTAGATTAATTCACAACATCAGTGAGATCCTATTATCTCTCTTTTTTCTTTCATGGAAAATAAGACCACTACTTGTACTGCACAAATAAAAATGGCTGGTATAAGAACCATAAAAAGTACAGCAAACAAGTCCACATGATGTTGTAGCTACTACGTATTTAGAATGTACAAAAACTTCTTCAATAAAAATTTGTTAAAGACACAATTTTCTGCAGGTACAGGTCCAAGAATGACAGCTGCCTACATCTGAAACATGGTAAGATGACCCTCTGGTCCTACTGCTGACATAGTTATAACAAGAGGCACTTGCTTGTGGATCTTCTTGCTCACATCAGTTCCATTCAGCATTGCTCTGTAATGAGGAAAACTCCACCAAAATCAAATTAGTGCTTTTACAAATCTGATGGTTTTTATACCGGCTATGTATTTGCAATATAGTGTGTTTGTATCTCTTCTCTTCTTCCCCTTTGTCCCTGTATTCTTTCTCCACTGCCTTTTCCCTAACTGCTTTTTCTCAACCATTCCTTACTGTTAGCAGCAAATCTGTCTATTTAAAATAATGTTGAAAGCAGTAAACAAAATGCCATCTTACTCAGCGAACCCAGGGATAGGTTTGTAGCCCATAGCTCAAAAGGTTTTGCTCTATATAGAGACTTTTTCTTAATTGAGAGATGATATGTAGACACCTAAAAATTAATTCGTTTGTTTCTAGTGAAAAAGATAGAAGTGCTATATATTTTTCTATTATGTTATAAATTATGGCATGGACATTTACTTGATTAACTGTGTTTCTGCTATGAAGTATTGCTCTTTACTATTTAAACTTTGCTAGATCTCACTCTAATATTTAAAGGTAATATTTAGTTTCTTTTTACTACAATTCTTTTATTTCTGACCGTATAACTACTAGTCCAGGGAACCTGGCTTCATAAATTAAGACTTGGTCTTTGCTAAGCTCTGAATTCCCAGAGTTGTCTATGCCTTTACCTAGTCACAAATCTTCTTACAGGAGTTACCTTTGATTCTGCGCTCTCTCTAGGAACCCAGGTGTGATCGGTCACCAAGTCCTGGCAGGCCTACCTTCTGGGTCTGCCTGGAGCCTTTCAGAATCATTCCCACGGCCTTAGCCCTGGCCCAGGTGCTCAAACTTTCCATCTGGATTACTGTAGTGGCTGACAGAGGATTCTCTTGCCTGTAGACTTGCTTTCTGCTGGTCACCCTCCACTTTGCTCCCTGAGGGGTTCTCTAAAGCATAGATTGATTGTCACTTTCCTACTTTAAAATAGTGCTTTTGTCATTGCCTGAATGCAGACCACTTAGTGTGGCACACCCTTTGGCTATCCTCATAGTTTCACCTTTGGTCACTTTTGCTTCTTGGCCTCCAACCTAGCCCTTATGAATCCTATGCTCAGTTTAAGTAAAATTATTATCAGTTCCCCAAAGTGATACAGGGGGTCAGGGTGCTTGGAAAGCCCATGAAGTCCACCTGGGGAATGAAATGTACCTGTGCAGTGTTTCTTAGAAGAAGAACATTTGCCTGCAGGTCCTTTGGTTCAACTTGAACCAGGTGACTCCTACCTATTGAATCTTTTAGTGTTTAATTTTGGAGCTGAAATTTCAACTGACTTCCAAAGGAGCCAGCAGAGATTCTGGAACCAACCAGATCTGAATTTTAAATCAGTTTGCCTGGGCAGTCTACTTCAGCTTTTTAACCTTTAGTTTTCCTCATCTGTAAAATGGGAATATTAATACCTACCAACTATGGTTGTTTGTGGGAGCTCTGGTGGCATAGTGCCTAAGGCATTTGACTGCTAACCAGAAGGCTGGTGGTTCAAACCCACCAGCCACTCCTCAGAAGAAAGACTGGGCAATCTACTTCTGTAGTGATACCGCCTTGGACACCCAAGGAGGGGTTGCTATGAATCAGAATAGACTTGATGGCAGTGAGTTTGGTTTGAGTTTTATGGTTGTTTATGTCTATTATGTGTCTAGCCTAGCCTCTGACACACAGTTGGAGCTCAAAAGTGCCATCCCCTTCTTCCCCCTCACCCCTCACTGGGACCTAACACAGTTGCCATCTCCTCTGTGAAATGTTCCGGATCTCTATTCACATCCCCAGGGTTTGCAGAATCCCATTATTGTGCTTTCATGATCTCAAGACTCCTCTAAACTAATACTGAGTGGCAGGCTTTTCTCCAAGTAAAAAGAGGATCATCCTTTCATGCAGGGTATAAGAAAAATAGTATCATCATAGACAGTGCCCGCATATAATTAAAGACCTCAGAGCTGGCCACCAGGCTTGACTATTAGGAACATGGATCCTGCCCCCTAGAAACTTATGGCATCATCCTAGAAGTATTTCTAGTAATGAGCACATGGTGTTTGTAGTCTTTTTTTTTTCCTAGAAATGTTGTCCTTTTAGGTAACTGACACTTAGTATGGACATCAGGTCCTTCTTATGCCCTACCTCTAAACAGAAAACCCTCAGAAGTATAATGTGGTGAGGTCTAGCATTCATCAATTTATTCCATCTTTTGTTTTTGCACCAAAATTTTTAAATAAACTACTATTAAAGATCATTCAAATTGTCTTGCTTAGCTTCAGTTTGGTATATGATTTGGTACTTTAATGACTGAGAATCTTGTTTTGCTGTCATATTGTCCACTCTTTAACATTAGATAGTATTTTCCAAAAGCAAATCCACCTCTTTCAAGTTGATTTCTATTCATAGTGACCCCTGTTGGGTTTCCAAGGCTGTAAATCTTTATGGAAACAGACTGCCTCATCTTTCTTATGCAGAGCAGCTGGTGGATTTGAACCACTGACCATTTGGTTAACAGCCAAATGCCTTAATTCCACTACACCACCTTAGCTTTTTAGATAGTATTTTAAAAACCAAAAAAATGAGACCTGCTGCCATTGTGTTGATTCCGATTCATAGCCACACCTCCATTAAATTTCCAAGGTGTTAAATCTTTATGGAAGTAGATTACCCCATCTTCCTTCCATGGAGTGGCTGGTGGGTTTGAACAGCCAACCTTCTGGTTAGCAGTCAAATGCCTTGGGCACTGTGCCACAAGAGCTCCTTGTATAATCCCTTTTATAATCACTAACATAATCGAAATAGGGAATATTTCCATCATCCACAATATGTCCTGTGAAATAGGACATTATGTGATTTGGACCTTGTGTGAATGTGTGTAGATGGTGTTTTATATGTAGAAAATGAGCTTCAGTCTATTGTTATCCTAGGATGTATCCCAAACATCTCTTAATAAGTTGCAGTTATCAGCTTGCTTTCTTATCATTTTTTTTAAAGGTTAAGGTGTCCTCACTCCCATGCTAAAAAATAAAAACCAAAACCCAAAACTAAATTCTTAGCTGTCAAGTTGAGTCTGACTCATAGTGACCCTATAGGACAGAGTACAACTGCCCTGTAGATTTTCCAAGGCTGTAATCTTCGTGGAAGCATACTGCTACATCTTTTTTGTGTCAAACTGTAGTGACAGGTTTGACAGTCGTAGTGTCAAACCATAGTGGGTAGATTTGACCACTGACCTGTTGGTTAGCAGCAGAGCACTGAACCACTGTGCTACCAAGTCTCTTCTAGTAAAACTAAATAAAGCCACCTCCCCACCCTCCCTGCAAAAAATTCTCATCAAGCCACCCAGCCGGCTGGAGAGGCTCCAGTTGGTTGAGCTTCACTTAATCAGGGTCGCTAGTATTACTCTCCCCCTCATTCCTGGATCAGTCATGCAGCCTTTGAAGTCACTGACCTCCAGACTGTCCTATTTTGGAGAGCAGAACTGGCAGTCACTTGAGAATTATGGAGCAGAGAGGAGCTCAGATTTGCACTCATCAAAGATTTCAGTAGATAAGGATTGGCAATATTCCTGTCGTGCCCCCTTCTTCCCCCGCCCCCAGTAATTCAGAAACTTTTCTGTATGTGTAGTAGTTAATTTGTTAGTTCTCATTCAGCACTTAAGGAGCTCTGGTAGCATAGTGACTGAGGCATCTGACTGCTAACCAGAAGGTTGGTGATTCAAACCTACCAGCTACTCCACAGAAGCAAAAATAGGCAATCTACTTCCATAAAGATTTAATGTCTCAGAAACCCAGTGGGGGTTGCTGTGAGTCAGGATTGACTCCATGGAGGTGGGTTTGGTTTTTGTTTTATTTAGCATTTATTGAATACCAAAGAAATGCACAGTAGAATTCTGAGACCTGGAAATACAGTGTTGAAGAAGGGTGCTACGGCAATAATGCTTACATTGAGATTACAATTAATACAAATTAATTACAATTATTTAGAGTAATTGATCCAAATAAACAAGAAAATATAAGTGCTAAATTTGAAAAAAATAAAGCACTCTTTTTAAGTGACAAGTGGTCAGGAAAGACCCCTCTGAGGAGGTGACACTTAGTAATAACCATTGTTATCCCTGAAAAAAAATGGAGAGGTGTCTGAGCATGGTTCTGGCACAGAGAAGTGAAAGACAAGGGAACTAACTGGTCTTGTGTTATGCAAAGAGCACAGGTTAGGAATAAGGTCACCTGGAATGTCAGATTGGCCCCTGCATGAACTCCAGGATCTGGGGCAGGTTGTTTAAAGCCCCCAGAACTCTGGCTCCTTGGGTGTGAAGGGTGTGACGTGAAAGGATAGCTTCCTGAGATCCCCCATCTGCTACCCTCATAGTCCAGCTTCCTAGTCTGCTTTCCTCTTGTTGCTCTACCCTGCCTCCCACTGGGTTTTTTTGTTTGTTTGTTTGTGATTTGGGTGAAAGTTTACAGAGCAGATTTACTTTCCATACACATACACTTAGTCTCATGACATTGACTGCAATTTCCCACAGTGCAACAGCTCCCCTCCCACTTCCTTCCCATAGTTACCTCTTCCCTGTGTCCTTCCCTCCCATGCACTCATGCCCTCCGAGCTATCTCCCTACGCATACACAGACCTTCTATTCTCCCATAATTGATCTCTCCAAAGAGTGTATCTACCTAATGTAAATATTCAGCTCATATGCCTGTCTTTTGTTTGGCTAGAAGCCACAGGAGTGGGTTCAATTCCAGACCTGAAGGGCAATTAGGGGCCATAGTCTCAGTGGTTCCACCATGGTCTATCAGACCAGCAACCTGGGCCCCCCTCCCCCCTTTTTTTTTCCAAAAGATTTTGAGATTTGTTCCACGTTGTTCTTCCACTCTATCCATGATCTCCTACATAGATCCCCCACCAAGTGGTTGACAGTGGTAGCT